ACATGAAGATAACATAACTTATACCTGATGTATGAAAGCCAGTGTTGAATTCTAGAATTCAAAACAATAGTTGGACTACAAATGCTAGTCTTGATTACTGCTGATCACTCTCCATTTCTGCATCACTCTGCCAACCTTTTTTCCAGTTCATGCACTTGTTCACAAAGTAGTTCAAGATTAGATGCCTGAGTGTGCTGTGATGAAATTGGCATTTAAAAAATTCTTCACAGATGTATTATGCAATAACCTTAGAATTGGGTAATTATGCTTAAAGTATATATCTGTCCCTTTTTCTCTTCCGCTCTTTCTCACCCCGATTCTGTTTATTCCTTCTTTTTCTTTCTTAATATTGCCAGATATATGTAGTATAAATATAGAGATCTGCATCTGTTACAGGGAAAATATTATGTAGTTTACAAACCCTCATAAACAACCTAATATAAAAGCCTTGTAAATTTCATTGTCTAATAGTAGCCAAAACTTATTTACTGGTGATGTTTAATACTTACCAAGGATAGTTTATTCTGTGATTTAGGGTCCTCTAGTATATGAAGCAAACATCATTATTAATTTATATTACTTCAGAAAAACTAGTAATAGTCAGATGTCACTCTGATAAAAGTGTTTCAAACAGGCAAGACGATACAATTTGCCAAAGCATCTTAATGGGACTACATTAAATGTGCTAACTTTGAATAAGGAACTACACTCTGATAGTGTAGCTAGTATCTAAGAGCATTGTAAATTATATGTTTTAGATGACATCTATTATGCAAGGCAATTGACCTAACCATTTTCTAAATACAGAATCTTAAATGGCTGATGATAATAAAATGGTGAGAAGTGTTTTACTAGTAGAAGAGAATAAACTTTAGGAGTATGGTTTTCTATTATCATGTTTTGTGAAATGAATCTGGTTTATTATTTTTTTTCTATTCTGAATAAACATGAAAGTGGTATTTGCAGGATTAGTAATTGACATTTTTATGGGGAATTGATCCAGATATCAACATTTTTATCATTTAATTTGTAATGATGTTTCTTAGAAGTTATTAAACTAATAAACTCGTAGTAATTCAGTAAGACTGTATCATATATAACAATATATGTGGCTTTTATTATTTTAAAATAATGCTACAAAAATAACTTTAATGACATCTTTGTATTAGATGAATTTTAAAAATAACAAACTCAAGGGCCATGGTAGTATGTGACAAGTGCTCCTTTAAATTCCAGAATATACCTGGTATCATAAGATTTTTCAGTGTTGCCTCAAATAAACCTGTCATGTGGTCAGAATGCACTTGATTTTTCAACTTTAAATCATCTCTTTTGTTGCAGTACTACTGTAAACAAATTATGGCTTATACATATATGACTATTACATCTAAAAAAGAAATAGGCATATCTTAAAAATTAAACAATTGCCAATTAAAACTAATTATTTCACAAATTTAAGGTTGCTCAGTGCATAAAAGCATTTTCAGATAAATCTTATTCTTTCATAGATCTATCTGGTCATCTGCAAACTGGACTTTATTGTGCTTCAAACAATAAGTTGTTCCTCTGGTATTTGTTTGACTAATCTGGCCTGGTCTCAGTAATGTTGCACTGTATCCAAGTGACACTGAATGGCCTAGGCTTGCAGAATGGAAGTGGGATATACATGCCCAGGCATGTAATATATACCCCAACCAGTGTTTGATGCATGTGATATATAACCTTCTTCACTGTAACACCAGAGTGAATTGTTTCATCATTGGCACAGGGAACTCAGGGAGGGAATCACACAAACTTTTAAGGTAGTTTAATGGGGAAGAAAAAGAAATACAGAAAGCTTTGAGAAAGCCAGCATGTGGCCAAAAACAACAGCAGGTGTGGCCATATGGCAATCCAATTAGAAAAGGTATCCTTGCCACGCTGCCTTTCAGAAGATCATCAGGCCCGGTGAGTCTCATGGAGGGATGATTTACTCAGTACATTTAAGTGTTTCATATTGCCTCTTCACTGTTCAGTTCTGAAGGGAATTTAAATCTGTTGTACCAAATAGATGCTGAAGAATTTCCTTAAAGAATAAAAATAAAAACATAAATAAAGTAATTTCACTTCCACATTTAGAGATCACTATTGCCAAAAGCACGTTTAATTCCAAATAAAGCATTTGCTCAGCTGAGACTATTTTCAAAACAGTAAAGCATTGTAAAGCTAAAATTTAATGACATTATTTTATTTTAACAAAACATTTTGTGAGATTACTTATAATTTTGAAATTCCCTGCTTAGGTCAAGGCATTCTGTAATAATGTAATTAAAATTATTTTTGAAGAAGTCCTTAAACTGTAGAATAACATTTTTTAGAAGTTCTTGAAGCACATTTTCCTTTTAAAAGGATTTGCTAAAAATGTATTTTAGTGCTCAGATTAGCTCTCAAAATCTTGTTTGACCTACAAACGAACAGGACTGTACTACTAACACTCATTCTTAAATGTATTATTAGTATTGTATAATGTTGTTATAATCTCAGCCACATCGTTGGAGTGTGTGTGTGTGTGTGTGTGTGTGTGTGTGTGTGTGTGTGTGTGTGTGTGTGTTCTAATTTGGGAAAATGTCCATGTTTTGCCCTTAACTGTTCTTATCTTGATGGAAAATATAGTCCTTGTTGAGGATTTAAAGAGACCCGTGAATATAACCCCCTGCTCTAGTTCCCCCACCCCCACCGCAGCACAGATTTATGGTCAGAATGAAGACAATGTTTATATTTCACCCTTAAGTTCCCTGGTTTGTTTCTGCTTATTGACAGCACCACATTCTTATTTCCCAAGACCAAATTTTTGGAACAACAGCACAACAAAAAGATAACCAATTACTCAAACAAACTAATGGCGAATAGTTTAAGTATTGATTGTGTTAGTAAAAGTATTTCTTTCTAATAGGATTATTATGTTTATTTTGAATAAATAGAAATTACCTTTCTATGTAAAAATCATGACTTCGTGGTCACTTTTTTTTTTTTAATTGGGAATTGTGGGAGGGGAACAGACAAGTTGCTGCCCTTTTTGTTCATCAGTCTAGTTGTGGAGGACGTTGCTTCACTGGCCCATGTTGGTATTATCGTTGTGCTCTTCCCGGATGAGGCAGATCAGTCGCCGGCCTTTGGACAGCCGCTCACGGCGGTGCTTGGCAGCTCTCGCTGGCTGCTGGCCATACACGGTAGCTTATGGCAGCCCACTGCAGCTCCACTGCAGCCTATGCCGTCACTGGCACCTCACGGCAGCCCAGCCCCAGGTCGAGCTGTTGTTCACCAACATAGCTCTAGAGGGCGCAGTGTCACTGGAAGTCATGTGGGATCCGAACCAGGGCTCTGCTGCTCAGAGCTGGTGTCCCAAGCCAGCTCTTAAACAACGTGCCACTCTGCCGGCCCTGTGGTCCCTTTCTTATTGGAGCACAAATATACTTCTATTGAAATTAGTTTACATTTATTTAACTAAATAGAAGGCAGTCAGAGTTTACCATTTTGAAATTGATATTTTTCATGGAATTTGGGGGGTGTTGCTTGACAATCTAGCTTTTAACATTTGTGTAAAATTTTAAAATTACAGAAAAGTTTAAAAAACACAAATATCGCTGCCTATATCACTCAGGTGTTAAAACTATTAGTATTGTAGCACATTGCTTTCAGTACTTATTAAAATAAAACATGACTAAAGACACTTCTAGTCCTCTGTACTCTTGTGTGAGAGGCAACCACTGACATGAGTTTAACAAATATTTTCCCCTTTCAAGTAAAACAAAATTACATGCATATATGGATCTGTCAACAATGTGAGTATTATTTTAAGTATATATACAATTCAAAGGTATGTAGTATAGACTATCCATGTTAGTTTTTCACTAAACTTTGTTGTTGTGACCTATACTACTGATTTATGAAGATTTACTTCCTCCATTTTAACTGTTATATAACAGTTCATCATAGGACTAGAAACATTTTATTTACGTATTCCACTATTGATGGACATTTAATTTATAAGTTCCTTTCTTCATAGTGTTTCTAGTATTCTATTATTCCTGAGATTAAAGAGCATTTTTATTAAAATCTCAGTATATTTCCATACTTAACATTTGCAGTTTTAGACCACTTAGCAAACCACTCTTGAATAGTTTCAATTGGAGATGTTTTATTTTAAAATTATGCCTCAAATATAGCAAAATGACAAATAATTCAAGATACAATTTTTAACATCAGATGTAATTTGTTCAAAATTTACATTAATCTTTCGCATAACTAGTCACTTCCATTTTGTCTTCCTGTCATCCTGAAGAATGAAAATGTAATTTCCCAGAGGCTTTAAGAATTGGGGGTGTATTAAATGTAGCTGAAATTAAGTGATTAATAATTTACTTTTGGGTCATGAATCAACTTCATGGGATGCTATGGATCATTTACAACCCCAGAAGCACTAGCAGTAACAATGCACTTTTTAAGACTCAAGAACTCTCAAAGGTTGGCTGCCCAACCTAATTAAACTTCAATCTTCTGATACTAAATTTATTTCTTCTTTGTACAGAATTTACTCAGAACTTCATGACAGGAAAATGTCACTTTGCCTGACAGCTGATAGACAGGTTATGTAGCACCATAATTGGAGAGAAAAGGATAGCTTAGAGCTACTTGATTTAATGGCTATGTGTATGGCTTTTTCTTTTTCTTTCTTTCTTTTTTTTTTTTTTTAAGACTTCTATGACAGACAAAAGGCCTTAGCAAATAGGCCCAGTGCCATTTTTTTCCTGCTTTCTCCAGGGGTAATTATCTTACTCCATCAATAGTGCTGTCAGAAATTGGGCACGTAATTCAGCATTTAAATGAACAAGCAATGTAATATTTCCTGTCTCCCAGTAGAATGCTTTACAGCTCACATTCTTCTCTGTCATTCGCTCGCTCTTGATGTATGTCCCATACCCAGTCCTTGAATGCCTTCTCTCCCTTGTGTTTCATTGCAGATGTTGGCTCCGACTTGACACCTACTTCATTTGGAGTTTTATAGGACCAGCGACCTTGATAATTATGGTAAGAACTGTAATTAACTATGTGTTTCCCAGGTCAAGAAATAAAACTTTCACTATCCCTGTACTGACTATCTTCAACTTACATAGATTAATTTGGGAAAGGCATGTACTTATTTGACCCTACATAACTCAAGCAATCAGACACTCATTGTAATCTACTTTCATATTTGTAAAATACTTAATCAAAATGACTAGGGGAAGAAAACATGCATTTGCAAGACTTCATGCAGTGCAGTGGCTCTTGAAGAGCCCAATATTACATAATCCATTTGGTTTTGTAAATTTTCGAACAGTGATGACATTGTTTGACAACAGTATATTTTCCTTTGGATAATTTCAATTACAAATGAAACCAGAAATTGGAAAAGTGGCAGACTATCTTATTGTCCCTTCCAGTTTTGTTTTTTATATAAATCTTGAAATCTTTAAAAGAATTTTATTTGAGACTGGCACAAACAAGCAAGCATTCTGGAGTCATTCTTTCTTTTTCTATTTTTAGATTCATAATATATTGATTTCAAATATGAATTATTTATCCTAATTTAGATATAATTGTTAGTGTCATTTACATACTTATCATTTTAAAATACAAAGTTGCTGTTCATTTTCTGAAACACTTTGGGCCAGATATGTTTTGGAATTCAGATATTTTTCAGTGCTTAGAAAGGTAATGTGGTACATGTACTGCAGATTATATATTATCTGTAGCAGGAAATAAGTAGTTTTCCCAAATCAAACATATCAACCAATATACTAGGGAGTAGGCAGGACTCTGAAACCAAACACAGTCATAATTCAGCAGGAAAGAATAGGAAAACTAAGATCAAATAGAATAAAGACATGAAGTGTCTTATATCCATTCAAATCAGGTCCTCCCACCAAATGGGTTCAGTTCAGGTTGGGCATTTGGGCTACTTACTGAATTTTTTTAAACTTTCACTTTTCAGGCTTTTTGATTTTGATAAAGGACTGTAGACCTGTACTGTATTATTTAGAGAAGGTCAGTGGGATCTATAATTTAACTTCCCTACTCCCACCAATCCCAAATTCTGGCATATATAAACAAATATGGTGATAAACAACCATTCAACATGTGGTTTTCTATACAGTTTACATACTTGTGATATACGGAATTTATGCTAGAGCTTTTTGTTTTGTTTTGTTTTGTTTTAAATCATAAGCTTTCTCTGGCTCTGGTAATATGACACTCTCATTGAAGGTTCCCTCTACTTTAATCCTACTTGGTTTTAAAATCAGAATTTAGGCAGCATTGTGTAATACTTTTGCTCTGGATGTTCAAAAATATATTGCTTTTAGTATTTGCATGTATTTGACATAACAGTGTTTTGTACCTCATTGGTATCCCAATTCCCTAAACTGGCTTCTTGCCTTTACTAAAATACTAGGCAATCATCTATGATGATCCAATTCCCTTAAAAGTGTAGTAGAGCTAATTTCCCAGAACAACTCATCCGTTATATTGAATAGACTTACTTTTTTTCTACTCCAGTTACACTACATAACAGTACCTTTTATATTCCAGCTTAATGTAATCTTCCTTGGGATTGCTTTATATAAAATGTTTCATCATACTGCCATTCTGAAACCTGAATCGGGCTGTCTTGATAACATCAAGTAAGTGAATTTTCTTTTTGCTTTCTTTAGGCTGCATTACTTTGGTACAGTAAACTACCTTTACTTTTAATTCTATTGAAATCTTATGACAAATTGATAAAAATCAGTGTGTTGTCTTGGATAGATAAGATCATTTATTCACTGTTAAAGTAACTTGATCTGCCTGAAAATAAATATAATGAAGCTCAGTCTTCAAAAACGTTCCCCCCAAACTTTCATTTACCTAAAATTTTAATATACATATATTTATGATGTACTGAAAGCAAATACAAAATTTCTGAATCCAGGCAGACTATTATTTCTTAGAGCCACAAGCACATCCAACAGCATTCCATGTCCCCCTTCACAGCAATATGGAGAAATCCAGATGGTGGCATCGCAAGTACCAGAAGAGGGAGTCTATACCACAAGAGAGGACCCCCTGATTATTAAGTGGGACATTTATATAGGAGCTATCATAGAACTGCCTCCTCTTCTCATGAGAGGAAGAGAAACCTCGAGTCCCTAATGGAAAATCCTTTGGAATTCGGAGGGTGCCCAAAATATGTATACACATTTTAAGAAAGGAAACTGTATTAAAATTGTAATACTCAATATACAGATAACAAAAGATGAATACAAGTCACATTTGACTTCTGCAATTACAAGAGGTGCTCAAAGTGGTCACCATCAGTGCCCAGACACTTCTGATTACAGTGAACTACTGCTTGAGCAGCGTTGACCAAAGTGTCTACTTGTATACATTTTTTTGGCACCCCTATATAAATATATGGCTCCAGGCTTTATCCACCTTGTAAATGTTAATGTTTACCTCTTGGGAGGTAAATCCCTCCAGAAATCTCTATCTATTCAGTCACTGAGTCATCTTTTACCTTCCCAGGTTTGTCTTTTAACCCAGATTACAGTTTGTCTATGCTCAGAAGGCACTAGCCATGCAGAGCAATGAAAATATTCACATTACTTTCTACATTGGTAGTACTTCCTTTATATACACAGAAAAATAAGCTCATTTATATTTTCTGAAAAGAAATATATTTTCTCAATATAACCAAAAATTTATTTTTCCTTTAAAGTTTATGATATTTGAGAAAGATAGTAATATTTAATTTTACTTTAGTCATTTATACATTATATATTAAACTGCATTTGTATATAATTTGCCTATGTGTTAACTTGGTTAAATGTTTGAATTTAAATAAATGTACTTTCAGAAGTTTCCTAAAGTCACCTGTGACTTTCGTGTGCTACCAACATTCTCTTTGAACTATCTCTGATAGCAGCTATGTCACCCATTTTCCATCTTTCTGTATTTAGTGCCTGACATTATAGATCCTCAATGAATGCTTACAGAATAAATTAATACATTAAATACTTTAGTAACAAAAGGGTATTGACATTAAGTGGTTAATTTTAGTGAAGAGATAATCTGCCTCAATTAGTTGAAAAGGATAGATGAGGAATTTAAAAAATAATAATGTAATAGAGTAATCTAGAAATTATCTACTACAGGCAATAGTCTTTTGTATTTCTTAATATTATTTAGTTGAGATAATAGTCATTACATTGTTGAATTATGTACAATTAGACTATCCTTCTAAAATGTAGTGTTAATTCCTTGGACTGATCCTGATGAAATTGAATTTGGGTAAATTAAATAAAATACATTATCTTTATTGTACCATACTTTTACTTACTTTAGTATAAATTACTCTGTGGTATCAATTCTGTAGTATCTATTATTCTGTAGTATATTCTTGTAGATAAACAAGTAATACTTTGTTTATCATTTATGTTATGTTTTTAAAGTACTACCATTAAGAAGTAAATAATACTTTGATATTTATGTAATAGCATTTACCAGGTTAAAAATCAGGAAAAATAATGGCCAAGTCCTTTGTAAGGTCACATATTTTAAAAGATCAAGTTGTTCTCTTATTATTTTTATATACTTCTTTAGATAATATGGATTGAATCTTTCTGATATCACTGTTTATAAAAATAAACACACAAAAGCCAATTATTACATTTAATGGCATTGAGCTTTATATTGAAAAGTAAAGCCTTAAATAAGAATATTTTTATTAGAAATCTGTCTAAACTGCTTTATGCTTTGTAGCTTTTGGAAAGTTTATTTAACCTTCCTGAGCCTTCCTGTGCTATTTTAAATGGGCATAATAATGAAACACATCTAACCATTACATAAGCAGAAGAATATGAACAGCCTTTGACAGTGCTTTTTAAAAAAGTCAACAAGGCAAGGAGAGAAGTCGGGTAGTTGTTAGAAAAGGTGGTATAGAAGGTGGTTTTAAGATGGAAGAAACATGAATATGGATACACTGATGGGAAAGAACCAAAAATAGAGGTGGTTAGACATAGTATAAGAAAGGGGATCACTGTTACAGCTGTGAGCTGAAGAATTGTAGGGAATGAGATTTAGAACAGTGGCAGAGCAATTCCACTCCTTTGGATTTCATGAAGGACACTTTGACACCAAGTTACCAGAAGCCAGGAAGGAGAACCCTTTCCCACTGAGACTGGATGAAATAAATAATAAGTGTGATGTAGATACGTTGGTGTGATCAGGATAGGTCAGTAAATTGAGAGATTTCTGCCTGTTCTCTATGCAGTAGGTAAGGTGGTGATCTGCAGGTTACAGGGAAATGTTGAAGAGAGAAAATAAGAAAGCAATCTCAAGAAAATATTCCTTAGAGCTTTCCAGTATCTGAAGGACATTTCACTTTATTTAAACATATATTAACTATTTAAGAAGGGCTTGTAAAGAAATCAGAAGGGCCTCGTAATTGATAAGGAAAGAAACATTTAAGAAAGGTAATAATGATTTTGAACATTAAGCAAAACATAATGTTTGAACATTAAACAAAACATGTCAGCATGTTTTTAAGTTTTTCATAAAAATAAGGCTCTATACACTGTGTGTTTTTATTTTATTTTATTTCTTTATTTTATTATTTTATTGTTTTCATGCGGGAGTCGAACCAGCAACCTTGCTGTTAAGAGTGCACGCTGTATCCACTGAGCCATCTGGGCGACAGCTCAGCTCAAGGTGCCGAGTTCAGTCCCAGCCGTGGGTGGGCATAGCCCACCATTGAACAGGCAATCTTGTCAGTAGGAGCACGTTCACTCACTAGCTGAGCCATCCTGCCACTTGCTGGCAGCTCAGCTCGGGCGCAGCTCGGGTGCAGCTCACTGGCCCATGTAGGAATCGAACCAGCGACCCTGTTGCTCAGCAAACTCTTAACCAACTGAGCCACACGGCTGACCCTTGACTGTGTTGTTTTAAATATTATGGGTGATATGAGAGTATTTATTTAAAGCCATAAACATCATTTATCTGGAAAGGCTTCTTTTGAGTACATGGATGAGGACATAAACATTAATAATGTTTACTTGCTTTGTTTTTTGTATTTTTGTTAAGTGGTGAATAAGGTAGACCACCTTGCTCACTTTTCTAAGAGAAAAGAACACCTATAAGGACTTCTGGCAGTCATTGTCTTTCTAAAACAATTATTTCATTCATTTATCTAATCTGTATTGCTTTTACTATACATGTTCTTTCACACATGGGTATCTCTTTTACCTAAAATGTGTTTGCTTCTCCCTTATTCACTGCCACCATATATTTCTTTTTAGGATACTGTGAGACTCTACAGAACCACTGCAGTGGTCTCCTCACTTCTTTTCACGTGTTTTTTTTTTTTAAATTCAATTTTATTAAAATAACTAAGCATTGAAAACTTTACAAAAATGTTAATTATCTTAAATTGGTTAAGGTTCTTTCTCTTTTCTTTCCTTAAAGAGTCTAGGCATGGATGGGTCTTTTGTAGACACACCTATTTTTATTCTAAGGGGCAAGTGATTGATTCTCTCAGTTCTTTTCACATATTGATTCTTGTCTGCCTTCATCAGCTAGAGTGACCTTGAGAAGTTTAAATGTGACCATGCAATTCTCTTGGGTAAACTCAATGGCTTCCATCATGAAATTTGTTGAACCTCTTATCAAAATCCCATTAAAATTTGACCAGCTTTGTTTACCATGTGGGGTCATTAAGAATGTCCATGATATAATACTTTTTTAAAAGCCAAACTCCTCTTATTATGAAAGACTTGGCCCCAAGAGTGAAATTCTCATTTGGTTAAAAAATAGCAAGTTCTTTAGTTAGTTCTTAAGAAAATAAAAGAAGTGCCCTCAGTGAGTGGACACCAGCCATATGTAAAGAAATCTAAGGCTTCTCAATAACTTAGGGACTGAATAGACAAATGTTCTACCTGACCAGTATCTATTACAACTTATTCTGTTCCTGTAGAAGGTAACTTTTATTTTGAGGACTGTTTCCAGATTGGTAGAAATAGTTAAGTCAGAATTACATTCAGACTAGTATTGCCTTAGTCCTTTAGGGAGTTAAGGATGGTAGGGTTCTAAAAAGTTGAAGGCAGAAAAGCAAATTGATATAATCTTAAAAAATGCAACAGCTTCACTAGAATATTTTAATGCTTTGATGTTTCATTTTTATATTAATATGTTATAATTATTTATATTAATACAATGTAATTATTAAATTATATTAAGATATAGCCTGCTTTTCAAAAGGGTATTATCTTTATACTGTAGTCAGAGAATTTCCTAAAAAGAGTTCAAACATTTATGAGAATGATAAATCTAGTTCTGAGTTGTATTTAATAAAAATATTTATCCACTTCAAAGTTTTCTGGAGTTTTGAGGAAAATATTTTTAGTACTTTCTCATTCTTTTCAAAGTATTAGTTGGTGATATAAACATTGTGAAATATTGATTTGCATTTTTAAAAAGGAAGCTCAATATATTCCATGCTGACTTAAAAAAAAAAAAAGCTTATGTCTCCATTCAGTTGATTTTATTCATGGTTTATCTTTCACCACCAAAACTACAAAATTCAAATGAAAATTTTACAAATTTCAAATTATTTTAAATATTTAGAGGTGTGTTTGAAAAGTGCCACCTT